AATTTCAGGCAGTGACCAGGACTTCTTTGGGTTTGATGCCACTCTACTACACAAAGAAAAAAAAACAAACCAACTTTGGTCCAACCAGCCAGATTACTGGGGTTGCTAGAGATAAGACATGGAAGCCACAAGAAATACAACTTCATATTAAAAAGAATAGTGTCTAGTACCCTAAAGGGGTCTTGTCTAAAATCACAGATTTACACAGTACTTTAGCCTTTGATTCACTTGCATAGTTCTCTCTATGCGCTACTAAAGACATAGATTTTAAAATCACTGTATAATCTTGACTGCTTTCCCAGTAGGAAAGGAGCAAAGCAGCCAGCAGACAAATGCAACTTTGGCTTAATGGAAGATTCGCCTTTGCCAGCTCCCTTGGGTTTTGTTCTCCCTATAATATCCATCATCTCTTTTTTCTTTTTCTTTTCTTGACAGAGTAGTTTGGCTAATTTGAAGATAGAGTTAAATGTAATTAACTGCCCCCCTAACAACAACGTGCCAATTTAATTGGTAAGATTCCCTGTAGGGAACGCATTTAATTAGAATGATTGAATCCCTATGAGGAAGCCACTGTCAGTGGCAAACCAAAACCCCTTTGCTCAGCACTTGCACAGTTTTGGTTTTGCATTCTCCCTTGTTTAAACGTTCTTTATGCCTTCAGGGATGACAGCAAGTTGTTCCCCTGTCCCACAAATATCAAATTCTCCTGGGCTTTAAGCACTGGGGAAAGTTTGGGTACACAGTAAAACCAGTGGTAGGACTCAGAGAGTGTATTGTCCAGATGCTGAACACCCAGCTTGAACCAGACTCAGCTAAAATCTGAGCCGGTCAGAGAAATCTGCTTCCAATTGTGGGTACTCTGTCCTGCCGAAAACTCTGCCACGTGTGCTACTGCTGAGTCCCAGAATTCAAGAGGGTTTTTAATGTTGAACAACTAAGAGGTGAAACAGAGGCATCATTTAAGTGTCATTTCTGCATCACATTTTGAAGAAATACTTTAATACAGTTTTTGAAGAAATACTTTAATACAGTTTTTACTCCACCTCCTTACAGTAGCCATGGGTCTGCCTGAATATTCTTAGCCTGGAGAAGAGAAGATTGAGAGGGGATCTCATGAGTACTTACAAATATCTAAAGGGCGGGTGTCAAGAGGCTGGGGCCAGACTCTCTTCAGTGGAGCCCAGTGACAGCACAAGGGGCAACAGGCACAAACTGGAACACAGAAGTTCCATCTGAACATGAGGAAAAACTTTTTTACTCGGAGGGTGACAGAGCACTGGAACAGGCTGCCCAGAGAGGTTGTGGAGTCTCCTTTTCTGTAGATATTCAAACCCCGCTTTGGCGCGATCCTGTGCAACCTGCTCTAAGTGATCCTGCTTTAGCAGGGTGGTTGGACTAGATGATCTCTAGAGGTCCCTTCCAACGCCTGCCATTCTGTGATTCTGTGAGATTCTCAGTGCCACAGGCTCCACTTTAGTATTGGATTTCTGACACACATGCACCAGCTGAAAGACAAGTCCGCTGCATTCCTGGATTCATTATCACAGCAAGCACAGTCCTAAGAGACTCTCTCTTAGGCAGAAAGAAATTAGAAAGTAAAGTATTATGGAAGAAGTGTAAGAACAATAGCAGTATTTGCACAAGAACTAGGGTACATGCCCTGGTAACACATCAGTTTTTCTTTTCTTCTCCCATTGCTCTTCAGTAAAGCTCTTCTTCAACCTCTAGCTAAAAGCCCAAACAGCAGAACTGGAGAACACATGTTGGAAATACCAGAGCCTTTCAGAGCAAAGTGCTGCCGCTCGTTTGATCCCATGGAACCAGAGATACCTCGACACTCTGAAGAGGACTCGGATCCCTGCTGTTAATCTCAGAGCCTAAGAAAACCACTTAAAGGTAGAGGTCCCACTGTGCAAGGCATCATCTTTGCAGACTGCAAGAACTGCTACCCTAAGAGCTGTGTAACCAATGGTGCATTGCTGTGAGCCCTAAGAGTCAAATTTGTATCAGCAGAACTAGAAATAGACACTACATCTCCCAGTTCCCACTCCAAGGGCCAAGTGTCTATACCAGAGGGATTTTTGAAGTTGCCTATCTAGCCATAAGCAACAGATAAAGCCTGGGTTTTTTTAATGCTGACAGAGCTATGATGTGAGTTGTTCCAAAATGCTGCAGTAATACTAGGAATATGAATAGAAAGAAGGCTGTGAGGACCTTTTTCCCATATGTAAAAATTTATCTGATGCATCAAGGAAGAAATTGGAAACCACTCAAAACCCCTGTAGAAAGTAATTATAAAACTAAAGATGCAGCGTGTGCACGTTGCTGACTATGACACAGTATTATTAGAAAAGAGAACACATTATTAAAAAATAGATCAGATTCAGAGCCATATGTGCTAGCTGACAGACAGACATTGTTAGTGATTGTGTCTGTGCAACTGCAGATCGCCTCTAGTAGCTAGACTCTGCAATCTTCACTCAGGCAAGCCATTTTTCACGCCAGCATCTCCAGACAGCATTTTGGTCCAAGCAGGGGACACAAGAAAATAGTTTACGTACACACAAATGGAGCTGAGGTCCCTTCCAGTCTGTGTGCTCAAGCATTAGGTGACAACAAACCTCATATGCACCAAACCCATATATCAGTGATGGACGCAGCAGAAGAACACACAGGCTGTTTTTTAAACAGGTTTCGTTAGTGGACTCTGGCTAGATTATGCTAAAGTCAAAAGAATGACCAAGTATGAGCCATGCAACACCTCTCTGTGGATTAAGAAGTGATAGCCTCATCTTACTGGAAGAACTCCTGGTCTGAGATAGTGCTTGTATGCAAGAGGTGGTTGAGCCCTGCATGCGCAGAATCGCTCGAGCAGTTCATTTCTCCATCCTTTCCCTGCTTTGAGGCACTGAGCCGGAAGAGGCTGGAGCAACGCAGGGCAAGTTCCAAAGCATCCAGCCAGCATCGGCCTGTGAAAACAAAAGCAATTATTTAAGCACAGGAGACTAAATAGGACAATGCATGCATTGCTTCTCAAAAGCTTCTTGCCTGGGAGTAAAGCTGTTTGTAGTTCAGGAAGTCACTGTGTACAATAATGTATTTTTCATATATATAATCCCTAGGTTATCTTGCCAGAAATGGTGTGTTGTAGTGGCTGCATGAGTGATACATCTGCACAGATAATATAGTGGGAAGCTCACCCCAACTCCTCCTTCCCTAATAGCATTTCTTCCTCTGATCTCCCACAACCTGTTCACATCCCCTTTTGCCCCTTTCTGACGCAGGAAATGTGTTCAGGTATGGTGCTTTCAAACCACCTAGCAGCTCATGTTTGCAAGTAATATACCACGCACACTATCCAATGGCAGGGAGATACCGAGGCACTGTGCTGCGCAGGAGAGGCCCCTGCTTGGTGTGGGATCACTGAACTACAAGCTGGCTTGGCGGTCCCACGCAAGGTGTAGCGCTGCAGTAACAATCACTCCAAACAAGAGCCGGAATGACCAATACTTGCCAGAGTGATTAAGACTAGAGGGAGTTGCTTGTCAGACTGTTTATTTTTTTCTTCTTTCTCTGTATTTTTTTCCCTTTTCTCCATTCCTCCTGCCCAGTCCATCAGATAATCTGGGTGGAGCATCAGTTTCTCTTATCTTGTCACAAAAAATCTTTACCTGAAGGGTCTACTTTGCAAATACAAGAAACTATAAGCATGGCACAGAGACAAGACAAACTGCAGTTCCTATGCACAGCCTCACTGGATTTTCTTAAGGCCTGCGTGGGTCCCACAGGCAGGCAGCAAATGAAAAGGACGGGAATCCAAACTGACCCTTGGCTCTTTTGCAGTGATCCATACAAGTCTACAAAGCTGTGTGTTACTGTTAAAGCCTAACCACCACAGTGCTGGAGTCTCAGTATTCCTGGAAGCAACTGAAAATAGCCTGCTTCTGTAGTGCAGTCATTAATGAGGCCAGGACACCTGCAAATTGGCTGAACATTCAAGAACTGAAGTATCAAGGGAGTTATCCTCTAATTTCAAGCATGTAAAACAGAGCTCTTCATTACACTCCTCAGAATATATTTTGCAATAATTAGAAGTGTGTTTGAGAGGCAGCGAAGAAAAAAGGATTTTGCTCTAGCAATGGCAAGTGCTACAAACAGGTTTTCCCTGGACCATATTCATTCCTAGGTCCCATTTGGGAAATGTTTCCATTACATTCAATTCTATCACACACTTAGCATATGCATAAATCTCACTGGGATCCTGCTGTTCTCTTGGGCAGAATTCCCATCAACTTTGATGTGACCAAAATTTGGCTCTATAAGATCACCAAGAGTTTAAAAAAAAATCCAGATCATATGTATATAAAGAAGTGTTTATAAATTTGAGTAGTTTTCAGTGCTTACTTTGATACAAAGCTGCAACCAGTAAAAGAGAGAAAAATTCCCAAAACTTTGAAGAATTGCACTTGAACACTAAGCCATAAACACTGCAGAGCCCAGTCATTTATTCTAATTTCATCCCATAAATTCCTTCAGCATCAGCTTATGATTTAATAATAAAATCACACATAATGGTTAATAAAAGATTAGGAAGGTTGAATGCTGTTGGAATTGATTTCACACTATTTTGTATTTAACAAACATTCTTGCATTAAGGCTTTACGCACAGAGATTTATTCGCTTCTCGCCCTGTGGAGGATTTGCATGGATAACCCATTAGAGTTAATGGCTGTGCTGAGTATAAATCCATTTCCTCCTACATATCCCCTCTCCCCCAAAGCCACCAAGATAAAAACCTATTTCAGGCTATTCCACACAAGTGAGTACACTCCTGCTTAGGCTGACCTCCTTTGACTTTCCTCTCTCTTTATCTTTGCTTTTCTTTCCCAGTTCTGCTGAGTGAGGACTGCATGATTTGACATTTGGAAAGGCTGCATATGTCAAGGTATTTTTATATTCAATGGACTTATAAAATCAGGTGCTTTGATATGTAGTTTGATTTGTAGCAGCATGAGCACTTTGGAGCAGTAACGGAGGCCAGCTCCTCAGCGCCCTGCAGCACTTGCATACAGACATCATCTTATGACAGTTACAGCAACGCACCGGCTATGCTTATGCTTTCTAACAAGGGTGGCAAGGGTGACCCCAAAGTCTCCCTCAGCCGTCTCCCAAACTGTGCCCCTGCAGCCCACCCCTCCCTGGGACTGTAGGCAGAGCAGGTCGCATTGGCCACAGCCCCACAGGCAGCTCTCTTACTCCCCAACCACTAGTGTTGGTTCACTAGTACTAACATGAGCTTACAGGCTCGGTCAAATCTTTGGGGTCCACCACGTTACCAGAGGAAATTTCTACATAACATATTGAGGTTTTTTTTCTCCTTAAATAACTCCCTGGAAGGAGTAATGAGTAATTGAATCTTTTTTGAAACCTTATTGAAGGAGCCTAAATAAAAAAAATTTAAAATTAAAATATTCATTTTAATATTCCAAGGCAGAGACACAAAGCTTTAGAAGAAGTCACTGTGCATTAGCAGTCAGCATTACTTGTGCCCCGCAGAACACAGAAATGGCATCAGTGTACACCCCTGTATTCATTTCTAGCAGAGACTGAATTCAAGGGATGCACAGCATCCCCAAGCTAAGAAATGGACCTTCAGCCATCAGGTGGTGCTGTGAATCCAAAATATATGCCACAAAACCAGACGTAAAATATGGGATTTCCTCTGCAAATGAAAAGGTTACATTCTCTGTAAGTCAACAGCGTGTTAATTGCAGCATAACAGAGTAAAATTATACCCTCTCAATTTCAGAGACTGCACACAAGATAAACCTGTTTCATTGCTGAAGGCCTACATGAAATGTTGTTACATTTGAGTGATCTTGCTATTCAGTAATATTCTTCTTTATTGTGAAAATGATACAAAAATGCTAGCATTTGGATTACTTAATTGCTTACCTGACAAGTCTACTCACTCCTTCAGGAACTGCAGAGGGGGAAAAGTATGTGGTCACATAATTAAAGGTTGTCATCTATAGTCACAGTTGTCTGCATGAAGGCTTCATGGTTACCTTAATTCTCACATTTTCTAATTTTGAGTGGTTGACTCAAGTCGTGTTTTTTGTATGCAATGTAATTAGATCTGAGAAGAATGCAAAATATGGGTTCCTTCAGAGGGGGATGGCATCCCAGTAGGATGCACACAAAGGAAGCAAAAAAGACCTGCGAAGGAGTTACAGTGGTACTCCTTTAGAAGGTTTGAGGGTTTTAAAGCTGCAATATAAAACACTGCAATCAATTATCAGTTAATTTTCCACAAACTGTGGCTTAAAACAAGCATATGTTTAAATTTTGAAGGAAAACCCAAGAGCATATTGTCAGCCTATGGCAGAATCTCCCCACAGGCTTTTAAGCTCTTTTTATATCAAATGATATATTACTCTATCCACCGCAATGACTGCTTTTGGATAATTTCTGCAGAGATCATGTCTCAAAAACACCTGCATTACTTCCTTTTGCTTGGGAGCTGTGAACAAAGTATTCCCTTTCAAACATTACCTCTGAGCTTGACCCCTTCTTCATTGTACTTAGTATTTTGTCACTGACTTCCAAGGGGCAGCCCGCAGAGTAAGGTCTGGCTCTTACATCCAAGCTAACAGAATTCTCAGTGAGGACAGTAACAGGGAGAAAAATGACACCCCACCCAGAGAAGATCCCCAACTCTAATGTTCAAAGTCAAGTCCAGCTAGTTCACTCATACTGGCAGCCAGCACAAGGAGGACAGTTCACATCACCGATCTTTTGGCACCTGAACTGGTCAGGTGGGCAGGTTGCCCGGCCACATTTGGCCCCCTCCAGTGGAAAGAGTGAGATTCTTCAACAAGGCTGTTCCTGAAGTGCCAAACTGGATGTCCTACTAGAGTGCTAGCGCTAGCTTGGCTTCCTGCTCTCTTTTGTAGCAGCCACTCTCCTTGTACCCATCATTGGTTTCACTATCCATTCCCTACATCACTTTAGCAAATTATGATCACAGCATCTGACATGTGACAGATATCCTGGGAAAGTGGGATGTCAGAGGAACACATCTGCACATCACTCAGCTGTGCTCACTGCAAAACAAAACATGATGAAACAGAGGTGTCTTCTCTAAGTAGGCCAGTAACTCTTTTTCTCTGTTATATGTATTTACAGTAAAATGACAACAGTCATCAGTGACAATTTCAAAAAAGAAACTCTGAAAAAATCAGTTAAACACAGCTGGGTTCCACAGTTCCTTCATTCTTGAACGGTTTGGGAAAAAAATACGCTAATAAAGGACATGTGCTGCCTTGACTTTGCAAAACCAAAGCCGAATATGCATACCACATATGTTTTGAAACCTTCTGTATGCTTTCTCCAGGCCTTTTGGCTCAGCAGGCTGAAAAAGCAAGCACCCTGTGGTACTTTGCGATGACTCCTGCAGCACAGTTGCACCAATGGGAATCACTACGGCTTCCTGCAGGATGCTTCCCAGGTCCACAGGGCACTGCTGGCACCATGCAGAAACCTGGAGGCTGCAAGGCTGAACAGCAGCAGGCATGCACTCACACCAACTCCTTCTTTCACAGAGAAAAGGAACTACTAAAACCAAGTGACAAAACCCACTTGTTCTCCCCCTTGGAAAAAAGCCCCACAAAACAACCGAAGGTTGCTTATGCTGCTAACCCAGGCTCAGTTCAAGGAATACCTTGAGTCTGTCCTAGTCTTTGAAGAGATCTAAAATTACAACAATATCACACAGAAAAAAACCCCAACCAGGCAATATTGAAAACACTATGCTATTTGGCTTTGAAATTCTGTACAGTCACCATCATTTCACTTAAAACAACTCATAATTTGATGTGCCAAATCTATCTGTCACATTTTGCAACAGCTGATCACAGAGGAGCCGGCCAATGTTCTCTCAGCACTAACCAATAACAAAAATCTGCTT